AACTTGAGCTGAGTCACAATTCCCAGGAGGCTTTGAGTCCCTTGGAAGCTCTCAGAACAGCCCCGAGCCAAAGAATCACGGCTTTTATCAGCCCAACAACTGGAATTCTGAAAATCCCATTTCTTTAGGGCAGGAGACTGGGTGTCTGACCCAGAGTTACAGAGAACAGGAGCCCCACCCAGGCACAGCTGTTCCCCCAGCCGGGGTCCTCTAGCTCATTGAATGCCTAAGCCAAGAAGCAGAGGAAGGGGATTACAGAGCGATTAGAAGCAGGGCTCTGGGGTCACATAGACCTGAAGTTTCAGGCCCAATTTCCTCATCTGTAAAATGAAGATAGTAACACCCACCTAGAGATGTTGTTAGGAGGCAACGAAATGAGAACGAACTTAGCGTGGTGCTTGGCGCGTATTACATCCTCTGAGTAAAGGGCTGCTAATGAGGACGTGATGAGAGTGATGCCGCCATGACTCGCCCTAGGGTTCTCTGCTCCAGCCTCCTCAGACATCACCTTCACATGCCCACTCTCCCCGGGGGCTGGCATCACAGACCTACACCTGGAGCACTCCTTGTGGGCAAGGGCCATGGCAAAACCCAGCCAAACCAAGGCTTTTCTTCTATTGAGAGTTTCAAATAAATTTTCAGTTGTATATATTAAACCTATATTCCCTCAAAAATCAATTTCCTTTCCCCACTCCTTCCACACACCTGTTCTTGGTAGACATACTCCTCGTGGCGGGGAGTTCAGTACTTCTGGAAACATCCCATTATATTGCTGGGCAGCTGCAGTTTTTAATAAGTTGTCCCTACTGCTCAGTTTCCAGTTGAGTTCTGCCTACTAGAAACATCCACACGTCGGCTTTTGCCCACGCCCTGAAACCACATGGAACAAGCCTGCCCACTTCCCCCCAACCCCCGGATGTTTCTTTCAACACATCTCTGTTAATTCAGGCCTGCACTGCAGGTTGCTGCCCTGCCTGTCTGTTCAATCCAATCTTCTGGCAGGATGTTGTCCTTCATGTATACGTGGAATACAGTCCTGGGATGCACCCTCTTGACTGTAAAGTCCTGGTCTAGCATCCTGATTGGTATTGTTTCCAGGTTGCCCCAACGCCCCCCTCCCCAGAATGATTAGGGAGATCCTGGTTCCCTAAGAATCAGACACACTGTGATTTGAATCCCAGCTCCCTGTCCTAGCTGTGTGACCTTGGACGAGTTCCTCAGCCCTCTCTGAGCTACATTTTTCTCCTCTGTCAAATGGGGATAAAGATCCTTAGCTTGCCGCTGGTTGTGACAATGAAATGAGATCACGTAGGGTGACGTAGGTGCAAAGCATGGCATAGTGTAAAACTTCAGTACCTGGCAGCTATTATTGTTTTTAAGAGGGAGAGACACAGAATTCCTTGAAGGGGACGAGCAAGAGAATCAGCTCTCCCTGGGGACACAGGGAGGGGCCTGGATTCTGCGGTGAACTCATCCTACGCCAGGCAGACGGAGAGATGGTCTCGTGGCAAACAGCCGGGGCCCACCACTGCGGGCCGCGCGCCGTGTGCCAGCCCAGCCTGCCCCAGCAAAGGGGCCTTGGGGTTGACACAGCCGGTGCCAAGCCAGATGGGGCAGCGGCCAACTTTCCAGTCAACCCAGATGTCTGTCTTTCTCGAATGAAAACTCAAAAATGTGGTCTCAGTCAAAGTGGCTTTTGAGAGCTGTGTGCTCTCCAGACCCTGCAGAAGCTCTGAGTTGCGACTTTTCATAACTCCCCAGGGGTCAGGAGGATGTGGCTCAGGCCAGGTCCTGGCAGGTCAGCTGCATCTGTCACTCAGAGTGAAGGGAGAAAGGTGGGGGGACCAGAGGCTGGCCTAGATTGACTCTCTGAGCCATTTCCCTAAGAAGGCACTAAGGAATTTTTCTGGAAGAAAAGGGATTTGTCTGTGCCATGTAACTGAGACTTCAAGGCAGTCCTTTCCCATGTCAGAAATAGCAGCACTGCAGGGATCCTCTTCAACAGTCCTGTACAGCCTCAGAAGCCAAAGCTGATTTAGTGGAAGCCATGAAGCTGATTTAGTGGAAGCCACGAAGTCCCGTGGTTCCCCCCCGCTGCTGGCTCCATCACTCCCCTCACCCCCTGATTCTACTAGACCACCTTGTTGGGGATGACAAAGCCCTTCCCTGAGGGGCACAGCCTTATTTTATCAGAAGAGAAATAGAGGTTCAGAGGGGCAGAGCCACCAGGGCTGAGAATGTTCCAGAACCCAGGAGTATGCCTGTCTGGCCAACCATTCCCAAACCTACCCCAGCAGCTCGCCTTTTTTTCTAGAGTCTTGCACAGTAGCTTGCCTGTCTTGCCTACTTAAAGGAACATTCCCCACCCCGGCCCCAGGCCTGGGACTGGAGCTAGGTGTCTGGCACCCTGTCAACACAAACAAGGTTCCCCAGCATCTTGCCCCTTCTCTCTACAATGCCCAGCTGCACTTTAATGCATTTTAAATGTTTACATTGCCCTTTGCAATTTCTTGCTCAGTGTGGGGAATGCCTAATATTCCAGGGTCTGCACCCTGGTGCCCAGCTTGCTGAGGTGTGCTGAACACAGTGAGGGGTGGTGCTAGGAGGGGACAGGGAGGGGGTGGGTGCTCAGCCTTGGGTGTGCTATGCTCCAGGAAATGTTCTCACTCTCTCGATCTTACCTGCCTGTGCAATTTCCTTGGGTTGTTAAGTTCTTTCCCATCTCTTTGGCCCCCTCTAATAACTCTATTTTTTTAAAATAAATTATTTATTTATTTAATTTTTGGCTGCATTGGGTCTTTGTAGCCGCGCGGGCTTTCTTTAGTTCTAGTGAGCAGGGCCTTCTTATTGCAGTGGCTTCCGTTGTTGTGGAGCACGGGCTCTAGGCGCGCAGGCTCAGTAGTTGTGCCTCGTGGGCTCTAGAGTGCAGGCTCAGTAGTTGTGGTGCACGGGCTTAGTTGCTCTGCGGCATGTGGGATCTTCCCGGACCGGGGCTCGAACCCATGTCCCCTGCATTGGCAGGTGGATTCTTAACCACTGCGCCACCAGGGAAGCCCTACTCTAATAATTCTTCAGACCTCATCCTGGATGACACCTCTACAAGAAGCTTTCCCTGATCTACCAGTTTGGGGAAGGATCTCCTACCCCACGGTGTACGGATGTGCAGGTTGTGCGCTGCACAAAAGCTCCACATCTAACAGAATCATTGGCATCCTGGATTTGTCCAATTATAAAGACTATTTTGAACACGTGGAAGGGGAACCTTTCTCTAATTTGCACAAAGGTGGTCCCGGTTCTGCTGTCTGCGCCCCCTGCCCCCACCAGCCTGTAAGCTTGGAGAGGGGAGGCACTGTTTCTACCTCGTTCTCCACTGTTAAGGCCTACACACTATGGGTACTTCAAATGGGTACTTCATCAATGAAAATATTTGTCGGCTGAGTGGAGTGTGGGATATGGAAGTCTCAAGGGTGGGTCTGACCAGGAGGAAGAAAAGTGGTAAAACATCTTTGGCCTGCAGGGGGAGATGCTGAGCAGCTCCACACACTCCTCCCCATGGGGCAGTGGGTCCAGTCCCTCTTGCCTTCTTGGAGGGATACTTCTAACAGTAATTATAACAGCTACCACTTACTGACCTAATGCTAAGTACAGGTGCCATCTCATTTACTCTCCACAGCTGCCTTATGAGGCTGGCACTATTACTGTCTCCATTTCACAGATGGGAGATGGGGCAGAGAGAGGTCAGCGGGCAGAGCTGGGACTGGTACCTGCCGTGTATTGGATGCTCAAGCCTGAAAGCATAATACTACCCTTTGGTGCTTCACCAGAAATTCTATCACACTGTGAAACTGTCCACATTTATTTTTAGTTTGGAGAATATGGTCACTGCTCCACAGCCGAGTGTGAAGTTAGGAACAGCCCTGCCATTCCCCGCTTTGGGCTCTGGGCCAGGCCCCCCACAAAGCTGACTCACCGAGTTGACTTTTGTTTTTTTTTTTTTTTTTGCGGTACGCGGGCCTCTCACTGTTGTGGCTTCTCCTGTTGCGGAGCACAGGCTCTGGACGCGCAGGCTCAGCGGCCATGGCGCACGGGCCCAGCCGCTCCGCGGCATGTGGGATCTTCCCGGACCGGGGCACGAACCCGTGTCCCCTGCATCGGCAGGCAGACTCTCAACCACTGCGCCACCAGGGAAGCCCCCGAGTTGACTTTTGACAGGCAAAAGAAATACATGCCAGGCCTGGACCCAAGCCCAGGAATGAGGGCTGCAAGAGGAAGACAGGCTGAGCGGGCAGGAGCCACACTCATGCATAGGTACCTCGTCACCTGTCTCCCAACTTTAAGATCAATGCCTATGAGAGTGGCATTTTGCTCACTCCTGAATTCTCAGTGCTCAGTATAGGCGAGGCACCTGGCGAGTATTTGCTGAATGAATGAATGAATATGTTAGGTTTTCCCACCACAAAAAAGAGGGCTTGGAGCTGAGTTTCCCATACCCCAAGGCCGAGGACGTTCGGGGACAGATGCCCAACACTGATTCAAAGGCTGAGAGGCAGGAAACAGGAGCTGAGGAGGAGGCCTAGGGGTCCCTCCAAGGAGAGAGTGAGAGAAACACTGAGTCACTAAATCAAGACCTCTGGGCCCCTGGTACCTGGGCAGCGGGCATGTGGAAGGGGGTTGAGGGGTAGAAGAGGGCCCAGCATGGGATGTAATTCCTAAAATCTGAGTAAGAACAACTGGCAAAAGAGAGTAACCCATTCCAGGCCATCAGACCGAGCAGGCAGGCCACGCTGCACCTGGCAATGGGTCTGTGCAGTCAGGAGCCTCTGCCACCAGCCAAAAGCACACTCAAGGCAGATTTGGAAAGCTTTCCTAGATTACCAGCCTGTTCTACCTGCCTGGCCTCTGAGGCCCTGGTGGGAAATGCAGGGGGTGGTGCCTGCAGCAGAGGCCAGGCCCTCGGAGAGCTTTGCAGACAACCCTGGACCCTGGCACCCAGCACTCACCTGGTCTGGGTGGACACGGGGCACAGGAGGTCACTCCCCAGAAGGCTCCCACACTGCCACAGCAGTCCTCTTGGGCAGTCAGCTCCAGCAGGGGGTTGGCACACTGGAAAAAAGCCCATGGACAGTCATCACCTGCTTCCCTCCCCTGTTGTGCACAGAGATGTCGCAGGAAAGTCTGAGACATGAGCTCACCACTCACATCCTGCAGAGAATGCCCCCACCCAAAGGGAGGGGATGAGAGGGGAGGAGTTGTCCCAGAAGGAAGCAGTGAAACCCAAAGTCCACTCTGCCAGACCCTAAACTTGGGAGGGGGGTGGCAGGAACACAACCAGATAAGACCTTCTCTGTGAAGTCTGCAAACTGCCCCCATCCACGTTCCCAGCCCACAGAGGTTGGGCTTTCCTCCATCAAACTCCAGGGAATGCCAGGGCCACCTCCGTGAGCAGGGTCCATGCTCAGCGACACCACAGCTGAGAGGTGGGGAGGAGCTGGGGGACTCAGAGCCCCTATCCCTTGGCTACTCATTACCTCCCCCAGTTCCCAGGAGGGGTTTCCGGGAACGCCAAACTGCAATCCTAGGGAAAACCATCCTGGGTCTGGCTTAGCCCCTATCCTTAGGTGACTGGACTCAGAAAAGCTCACATGATTTCCCATCACTGACTGAGGATGCCAGCGGGGGTAGGGGGGTGGAGTGTCTTATCTTTGCACTGCCAAGGCTTTGGGGTTTAACCTGCATTTGCTAATTTCACATCTCTGTGACTCCACCCTTAACTGAAGACCAAACTCCTCGCCAGATCTAATAGCCCCACTACCCACGCACCAGGAGTCCTACACTCAGCTCCAGGAGAGCCCAGGATTTGCTGGGACACAAGGACGCTTGTTGCCCTCCAGAGGGGGCCTCTCTTGGGTCCTCTTCTGTGTGCCCGGCACTGACAGGTACCCAGTGGCGACCAAGTAGGAGGCTCAACCTCTCTACACTCAGGAAATTTTATGCCCTGAGTTTTCCCATGTGGGGAATGGGAGACCCTGTAGATTCACATTCCTTAAGAACACAGAGGAGAGAGAGAAGGGGGAAGGGCACTGCAAGAAGCAGTTGTGGTCCCAGAAGACCCCGGGGCTGGGGCAGGAGCTGCCTTCTCACCTGTCCATTCACAGCACTCAGGTAGCACCGGCCCAGCAGTGCAGGAGGCCTGGGCACCACCGGGGGTGGCGGCCGAGGAACCACTCCAGACCGAGCCGGGATGCTGTTGCTGCCCCGGTGACCATGGCCAGGGCTGGCGGGGAGCCAGGGCGAGGGTCTGGTCTCCACGCTGTTCTCCGGGGCCTCCTCGACCTCGCCCCGTACCCGAGCCACCTGGTGGACCTGCACGGAGGCCTCAGGCGGGTGGTGGATGTGCACCTTCACCAAGGAGGGGTTCACAGAGGCTGGGCACAGGGGCTGGGGTCAGAGGTGGGGAAACAGGGCCCCACCCTCTGAGGAGTGCAGCAGCCCTGGGCCAGGCGAGCCACTGGCTGCGTCTCCCCAAAACTCACCTCCATTTCTTCACTCTCTACTCAAAACCCAGAAAAATACCCCAGGGAGGACAGGACCAAGCACAGACTCCTTCCCTCCACACCTTTTCTTTTCTTTTTTTTTTTTTTTGCGGTACACGGGCCTCTCACTGCTGTAGCCTCTCCCGCTGCGGAGCCCAGGCTC